ATAATGTGCTGGTGTCCCCTTCATGTCATCCATGGCGGCACCCCTAAAAGTTGATATGGTTGGAAATGCAAACTGACCCGAAACCTGTTTTTCATTCGCTGAAACTCTCCAGCCCCTGCACCCCTCTTCCCAAATGGGGTTCTTCTTCTGACACGGAAAAGGGGCACTGCTCACGCAGCGGTTGCGCAGGGCTGAATTCCTGCTGAGTGCTGTGCAAACACGGGGCACGTGCATCAGGAGCTTGGGCTCACGGCTGCACGGAAGTGGACCAGAGTCCAGAAGCCGATCTCAGAGAATCTGATGGCTTCTTACCCCCAAAATGCGTTCTTCCACCTCCCTACTTCTAGGCCTTTTTCTCAGTCTAAACATGGGCCTGGTTGCACCTTTAAAAGGTTATAAATACTTCACATTTTTAAATAAAACAAAACTGCAATGGCTGCTTTCACTCACTCACTCGCATGCATGCATGCATGCGTGCACGCACATATACAAAATATGAACCTGTGTATTTGAGATTGCTTGGAAATGGGCTTCAAGCACTAGGAAGGGCTTACTATATCTGTGAATATATGGAAATAGCATAGCCCCCTGTGGAGTGTTCCTGTAGTCAACATGGAGGCGTACAAAGCTTCCAATTTTTTGAAGTAAATGACTGTTTTAGACCCTAGACAAAGTTGGTTAGCCTCTAAAGTGGTCCAAGTTGAACTGAGGCTTTACAGAAGCAAATTTCATCCTTTTCTTCCATAAAGTTGAATGGTTATAGCTATTTCCCTTTCTAAAATAAAACAAAACAAATACTAAAGGTTACTAATTGAGAACCAGTAACCCCAGTACAGTTAAATCTCTAATTGATCTGAAGCCGCTTAATAAAGCCACGGGCGAAAATCACCTGCCCAAAAGGGTGTGAAGTTTACTACCCTGGTCACAGAATTATGAAATAGCAGTGCTGAAAGGAGCCAATGCAGTCACTGGGCTCAACCCCCTGTTTAGTGCAGGACCCCCAGTTCAGGCACCCCTGATCAATGGTTGGCCATCTTCATCATTAATGTTTCCAGTGTGGAAGAGCCCATAACTTCCCCAGGCAATTGGTTCTATTCCCTTACTGTTCTAACAGTCCAGAGGTTCTTCCTGATGTTCAGCCGAAATCTTGAGCCCGTTGTTCCATGTCCTGCACTGTGGGATGATGGAGAAGAGCGCCTGGCCTTCTTCTTTGTGACAACCTTTCAAGGACTTGCAGCATGCTGTCCTGTCTTCCCTCGGTCTTCTTTTTTCTAGGCTAAGAACGCCAGTTCTTTAGTCTCTCCTCATAGGGTTTTGCTTCTGATCATTTTTGTTGTCCTCCTCTGGACTTTTTCCAGCTTGTCTGCATTCTTTCTTAAATGGCAGTGCCCCAAACGGGAGGCAGGATTCAAGATGCGTAGTGGGGAGCTGGTACTTCCCATGATTTGGAAGAGCAGCCCAAATAGCACTGGCCTTTTTTTGCAGCCAGATCCAGCTTGAGATCTGCAACAATTCCAAGATCACCCTCACTTGTAGTACTCTTGAGCCAAGTATCCCCATCTAGTAGCAAAGCATTTGATTTATTTTCCTGGGAGCAGAACTCGGCTTTTCTCCCTATTACATTTCACTCTGTTGATCTCAGACCAGTGGCCTGTCCTATCAAGATCACTTCCAGCTTCACCTCTGTCTTCCAGGGTCTTTGCTGTCCCACCAATGTGCTAGATAAATCATTGAGGGACTCATTCCATGGCCCTTGCACAGTGTCTGAGGGTCACTGGACGGCTCAGACTCCACTCCAAGGCCAGAGACAGCGTTGCCACCTCAGAGCTGAGAACTGGCGCTCCAGTCCTCCCCTGCAGCCCCTCCCAGCTGGTACAGAAAGAAGAACGCTGGTTGCTTTCCCCAGGGTGGGGGGAGATCCCTTGGACAGGTGCTAGAGGGAATATATCAGGGGGCAGGGAGTGGTGGAAACTGGAGCGGCCAGGAAGGAGGTCTCCCTCCCTCCCCACTGAGGCACTGTCCAGCACCAGTGCAGAACAGGAAGAGCAGAGAGGCACAGACGGACGTCTTGGATGAGCAGACGCCCCAAACTGGGAGGCTGATACTCATCTCCAGAGGAATGTGCCCGACATGATGGGTTGAATTCCTCCAGACTGGAGACTGTTGGCAGTTCAGCCAGTTCTGCAGGCAGCCGTCCTTGTCAGGTGGGGCAGCCACGTTTCTAGGTGGGGCATTTCTGGACGGTTAGGCGAGGAACATGCTGCCGGCCACCATTCCACCCAAGAGTGGAGAGTGTTCTTCGGGCATTGATCTGTCGAACAGCCCCACCCTCTTCCGAGAGAACCCCGAGAATAGCAGACCCCAAAGCGTGCCTTTGTCTAGCGGTACAGTCCTCTGCCCCAGCATGCCGATTCTTCGTGTGCTCAGCCACTTCAGCAATGCACTCCTGAGCGGAGCTTTGATATGGGATTAGGTATCTTCCTTTTAGGCTCCTCCTGAAAAATAACTTGGCTGCATTACAAGCTCAGGGAGGGGTAGAGGGAAAAGACTTACTTTAAGTCCTCCGTGAGTTTCTTCCGTCTAGCCTCAGGGACTCAGAGTCGGCCTAAGAAATATCCCATGTATGCCTTGCACTGGACCATTTAGATTTTCCTTCCTGTTGGAGAAGCATGGGAACGGTTTTAACCGGATCCTGTATTGGTTGCCAGGCTGATTTTTCTGCCCAGAAACCCTGAAAAGGCCTCTTGCTAAGCTGCATACATGGGGAGAAAATCAGGAATTAGGCCTGAGTTGCAGCCTAAGTGGCCGGCTTGCCAGCTGACTGTGACAAGCACAGCAGCCTCTCTTGCTCTCGTCCTTTTTTCATTCTTTGCCAGCACATGCTCAAGAAAAAGCAGCAAAAATAGCCATGGTGAGTGTGGAGAGTCCATTAAAAGCGAAAGGGTAAATATTCTTTTCAGCAGCTGGAGGTCCTGGGGACCAGCATAAAAGGCTTTCTGGCACTGCTGTCTTTGCCACAGCAAGGCAAGTGGCCTTCAGGGCCCTCGTGCCCAGGCCTCTGCAGCGCACGGCCCGCGCCAGCCGCTCCTGCCTCGCCCCTGCCTGATCCCACATGCCCTCGTCTGCGCCAGCCCTGCTGCCGAGTGCTGCTGCCCTGCTCCAGCCCCTCTGGTCTGCCCCCCTTTTTGTGGCTGCTTGCCTGACATCAGCTGCCCGGGTCTGCACCTTGCGCGCGCTCTCCCGCCTGTATGGCTGCCTGCTGCCTCGGCCCGGACCCTCCACTGCTGACCACGCCACCAGCCTCCGGCCCGACTAAGCTGCGGGGCCTGGTCCCGCCCCAGCACCCTGGGCCCAGCGGTCCGCCTGTCCCGGCCCCGGCCCCGGCCCCGGCCCCGGCCCCTGCAGCGGGCTGTTTGACAAGAGCGCGCAAGTGCTCAGAGGAAGATCGCGGTCGCGACGCGTCCACCCTCAGGGGAAATCGTGAGTGGGCGGCCGCTGGGGCCCTTCCAGACGGGGCTTCCTCTGCACTCCCCCTGCCTTATTTGGCAAATTTTTCAGAGGGCCCTCTTTTTAAGTTGCTCCTGTCCTTACAGCAAGCTGTCAGACTCTGGTCAACATACAGAATAATTGCATTGCCCTAGGGGTCCATCGTGTAGTAAATTCTTGGAAGACTCATCAAGGCTTGTTAAAGTTAGGGGTGGGGTAGAGATGGGGGCTGAGAGCGGCAGCTATCCTGAAGGGAGCTTTTGATACAAAAAGTGGGCAATTGGTTTACCCCAGCCCTGAAAAAATATCTGGCTAAAGTTACTCACTCCTACATCTCTGCCTTCGATGTGGTGTGTAGTATTTATATGGTGTAACACTTTGGGATTTTAGCTATCCGGATGTTCAAGAATTTGGGAAGGTTCCACACCCCTTTCTATTGAAAATATTGATCCCCCTCCTTCCAGACCACAGGGCATGCATGTCCTTGCAGAACTGCAAGACTGCAAGTTTGGCTTCTAAGGTTCCATAACAGGATGGCCACCTTGCTACCTGCTTTGGTTTCCTAAGCCCAGAGGGCCTCAAACTTTTTCAACAGGGGGCCAGTTGAAAGATGCTGGCAGGTGTCGTGGGCCAGTGGTGGGGCGGGGGCGGGGCACGCGCATGTGCATGGCGAGGCAGGGGGGCAGAGGGGCAAGGCAGCAACTTGCTCGCACGGTGATCCATTTTCTCCGAGCGAGTCCAAAATTATCTCCGCATGAGCAAGCCACCACCTCCCTACGCGCACGCGCCCAGCGAGTCCAAAACCTCTGAGGCAGGCCCGATAAATCGGCATGGCGGGCCGCATCTGGCCCGTGGGCCGTAGTTTGAGGACCCCTGCCTTAGCCTGTGCCTCATCACCTAACGCTCAAAGCGTTGCATACATTTGCCAGAGTTCCTAATGGGGAGCTAATTTTAATCTAGCAAATGCCTAAACCACAGTTAAGGCTCCTCGTATATAGGAACACTTCTGATATGCTAACTCTCCATATCATTGAGCTTTTCTAGACTATATCCATGACCATTAGAAATCTAATTATTGTGATGCAGTTGCCTTAATTGCAGAATTGCCTTAGCAGAACAAAGGTTTAGCATTATGCCTTCTGCCTTTCTGGATGGTTGCTATAAGAAATTATCTTTCGAATAGCATTTCTGCCTACTCCACAAAACAACAGTTGAGGACGTAGTCCATATTACTTAAGTATATCTTTTATAATGGCCCTTGCCAAAAGAAAACCCTTCCAAGTTTAGGCTGGAAAACAGTTCTCCTGAGTTTAGACACCAATTTTTGTTTGTACACTTTTTGTTTTTAGACAAAGGTAATTTTACAATACATGTTTCTTTATTTGCATTGGCAGCTAGGAATCTGAGTACCAGGGGCTTATACCTAAACAGACAGAATTCTCTCTCTCTCTCAATTCATTTTAAACTCTTCTTCAACCAACCAAAAGAACAATGCTGGTCTCTCTGCCTTCTAGGTGCAGCTGCTCTGCAGCCACTGGGCCAGCCAAAGACCCACCATGTGGAATATCCAGCCTTCCATCTTGTGCCTGCTGGGCATCTTCTTTGGTGTCTGCAGAGGAGGGGAACTGCCTGCTGCTCAAGAAGGTAAGGCCAGGTGCGCTGACATGGGCGGGCAGCTCCTTAATGGGGCACCAGTGGGTGGCCCAGATTGTCATGAAAACCTGTTGGAGAATTGCCTACAGTCAACAGAACACAGCAGCCGGTTGCTAGCAGGGACCAGCAGATAGGCACACGTAATGCTGGTCCTGTACCATCTGCACTGGCTTCCAATTGAACTCTGAGCCCAACTTAAGGTGCTAGTGATGCGTTATACAGCCCTGAACAGCTGAGGACCTGGACATTTCAAGGAGTGCCTCCTTCCATATATACCTGCCCAGTCTCTCAGATCCGGAGCAGAGGCCCTTCCTTGGGAGCCCTCTTTGAAGGAGAATGGAAGAGTGGCTACCTGAAGGAGGGCCTTCTCTGTGGTGGCACCCCGGCTATGGAATCGGCTTCCCAGAGATGTGTGCCTAACACCGATGCTTTTTCATTTTGGCACCAGGCAAAGCCCTTTTTATTTTCCCAGTAATTTTAATGTTGGTGTGTTTTTATATATTGATTTTATATATTATTTGTGATGCTGTGTCTTATTTATTTATGTTATTGCCATCCTGAGACACTGTAAAGGGCGGGATATAAAAACTTTCAATAAATCAATACGCACTCAGGGCACAGAGGCTGGCATGGATGCTGGGAGGCAGGGATCCCACAACCCCATGTCTGCATGCGCCGCTAAGGCAATTTTCCTTTTCCTTCAATTACCACAGGCCTTGCCTGTGTTTTCCTTTGGGCATCGTCAGGATTCTCTCTGTACTTAAATTAATGCTTGACATGTAACTTATTAAAGAGGAGCACGGACAATCACTCAGATGCCACTTAAGCACACTGAACGGCATCTAGTCACAACTGGTCACGAAGTTATCCACGTTTGGGGATTCGGATTCCAGCAAATCCTTCAGCAAATCCTTTGGGGATTCGGATATGCAAATCCTTCTGGGATTAAGTTCAGGCAGGTTGCAAAATGGTGACACCAAAGAAAGCAGGAGCTGACAACTTCTCCAAATTGGGACCAGCCATGGGCTTTTTCAAGCAAGCATTTATGAGGTGGGGTGGGGTGTTCCGGCCACACCCTCCGGAGAGTGTCCTTGGCCCCAGGACTTGCTTTGCATCATTTATATAGCGCGCCAGCGTACATGAGCAGCCCTTTGCGGCAGAGATGGGCAAACGTGGGGCTCGCGGGATCCACCGGGCCCTCTTCCTGAGAACTCCGACCATGGCCAGCTGGAGCCGGGTGCCAGCCGGTGGCTCCGCAGGACAGACGTGCTGTGAACAGCCTTTCTCCGAGCACCTCCAGCCCTGGCCAAAGCCCCATGTCGATCGCCTGCGCTTTGTGCGCATCTGGCTTGTGTGTGTGCACGGGAGCCCTTAGTTGTGCTAGGGGTCGACAGTGGGGAATCCGAAGGCGCTGCCCTTCTACGGCCAGTCACCCAGAGGTCCCCGAGTAGGCCCCACTCTACCACCGGGGCAGCCCGCTTTGCAGATTACAAGAGCGCCAGGTGCGGCTCTGGGGTCTGGCCACCCAAAATTCAACAGAGGGAGCAACGGGGATGGTGAGGGAGACGGAGGTCAACAGGGAGACAATGTGTGAATTGCCTTTGGATAAATAATGGGGTGATCAAGGGGAGGGTGCTGCGGAGGCTGTGGGGAAATGCTTGTTGCCACTACTTTTTGCATGGCTTAGTGGTAAGAATGCTGGACTGCAGTCCTGACAGAACCGGTCCCAGGTCCCCACTCGGCCTTGGAGCTCACTGGGTGACTGTGAGCCAGTCACCGACTCCCGGCCTAGCCTACCTCACAGGGTGGCTGTTGTGAGGATAAAATGGAGCTCTGTTGCTCCCTTGGGTTCTTTGCAAGAAGCAGGAAGGTGGGATAGAGATGCAACGCAGTAGCACTAATGGCTCCCTTCAGTATGATTTCTCTCGCCCCACATAAAATGGGGTGGATGCATCTTTAGCTACTCCTAGAGGAGATGGCTTGAAAGCAGTGGGACCGGAGTTAGCCACACGCCATCATTTCAGTGGGTCTGCGCTAAGCAAGATCAAACCTAGATCCAGGCTGAGGAATCACGGCTGCTGCCACCTGCACGGCCGACTGACACGGAAGACTGGCACGGCCCTGCCCCCGGAGAGGGCCACGGCCCTGTCAGGTGAGCCATCCACGCTTCAGCGGAGCACCGTCCCCCACAGCCCATTTGAGAAGCGTCCCAAGGTGGACGTTGGCCAGGACTTCGGGTGCATTTCAGCTCCATCGTAACCCTCAAGCATTCTGCCTCCTGCCCTGCCCTCCTGCCCGGCACATGCCCTGCCCTGGAAGGCGAGCTGAACTGAGGACTGCGGCTGAATGAACCCGCTGCCACCTCTGACTGCAGCTGCTCAGCCAGAATGCCTGCCTTCGTGCCCCTGGCATCTTGCTGTGGGCAGCCTCTCGAGGCAGCCGCTTTGTAGTCTGGAGCAGACTCCAGCAGCCCCCGCAGAGCCGGAAGCAGCCCCATCTCTCCGTGGGCTCAGAGGCGCTCTCCTGTCTGGGGAGCATCGCTTTGCTCTCGCAACAGCCGGCTCTCTTGCCGGGGGAGGGCCGTTCTGCTCCCCACTCGGAGCTGTGACTCGAAGTGCCTGTCTGCTCCCAAACTGGCTTTTCCATGGCACCTGGACAGCCTGTGAAAATCCAAAGACGGGCACAGTGTTTGTTTCCTTATTTGTCACGTTCCTGCCCTATCCGTTTTCCGCTTGCAAGGAACTCGTGGATAGCCCGACAGGGCATCCTTGCCCCCATTTCATCTTTACAACAACCTTGTGCGGTTGGTTAGTCTGAAGGCGGAGGACCGGCCCAAAGTTACCCCGTGAGATCACTGCTCTGCAAAGAAAGGGGCCTGGTTTAAGCAGAAAGAAGCCTGCTACATGGTGGAGCACACACTCTGCAGGCGGAAGGACGAGGGATGAGCGGGTCAAGCCTGTTCCATCCGCCTTCTCCGCACGTTTGCATTTTTAAAAAAACCTCCCTATGGAAATTTCTACTCATTTTTCATAAACGATGCATCAGTGTATGGATTTCTTCAGCCCAAATACCTTGCTGGGGGGGGGGTAATTTGGGGGCAAATCCCACGCAATTTCTTGTCAACAGCAGGAGCCAGCGGTGTGACGCGGCAGTTGAGAAGGCAAACAGCACCCTTGGATATATAGCCAGAAGCGTGGCTTCCAGATCGAGAGAGGTGCTGGTGCCACTCTATCAGACTCTGGTGTGCCCACAACTGGAGTACTGGGTCCAGTTCTGGGCTCCACATTGCAAGAGGGACACAGCTAGGCTAGAACCAGTTCAGAGTTACATGAGTGGAGCCAGCTAGGGCCAGGGGTCAGACTAGATGGCCAGGGACTCCCCTTCTGACTCACTCTGTTTCTATCTCCCTGGGCTTGACCGTGTAATATCTTGACATTTGTTAAAATAGTGTTCTCTATTTGTGCAACGTTTTGGTTTCTGTATCATCATTTTCATAATTTCAGCAAAAAAGCAGACTAGCTAGCCGCTTGCCCAGAGACTCAGCAAGGGCAGCAGGTCTGCCATGATCTCCCCACTGCTGCTTCTCTCTGGTCGTGGGCCTACAGCCTGCCACAGTGCCTCGGACTGCATACAGAAGTACCTTCGGCCTTTGCTTGCTTCCTTCTTGTTGCTGATGCTTCTGCCTCGGCTCACAGCAAACTTTCTCTCTCTCCCTCCCTCCCTGTGTGCCTCCTGCTTGTGCCAGTGTGAAGGCTGCATACAAAACCCTTTCAAACAGACCCCCACTATCCTTTTGTCCTGCCAAGCAGTGTCGTGAGGATGTGGTGCAAGGCTGGCCCTTCTTCCAGGGGTTGTTCCCGGATGCCTCCAGCCCGGCTCACTTGATTGGCACAGTTGCTCGGAGCCGAAGGGGTTTGCTCTCTGCTGTTGTCGATGGCTGGACTCTACAACGCAAGTGCGGATAATGCTGGATGAATAATTCATAAAAGCAGCTTCTGCTTCTTTTCCTTTGCCAGCTTGTCTGTTAGCTATTTACACCTTTGCAAGGACATTAGGAAGAAACTCCCTTTGAATAGGAAATCTAGAAAGGAATGGGAAAGGAAGAACTGTTATCAGGAACTGAAAAATCTGCCAATTTCAGTTTTCACTGTCCCCATGTTTCACATTTTTCTTGTTTTAACTTTTTTTTGTCCTGATCATTGAGGCTTTTCCCATAAACTTTCATATGAAAATCTATATGCATCTTGGTGCACATTTCTCCCAATACATGCGGTTTCTTCCCAGTATGCACAATTTTGCAAACGATTTTCATAGCATAATGCATTTTAATATTATTTTCACTAATACTTCTTTGTGCATACATATTTTGCATGTGCTGGAGAAAACCACTGGAAATTTGGAGAAGTAAAGATTTCTGAGGATAACTTGAGTTCTGGCTTCCATATATGTCTGAAAGAATAGGAGGTTGAGGCCTGGGAAAGGAGAGAGCAGACACCTGGAGAAGTGGCAGCTCAAGAGAAGGTATGCGCTGGAAAAAGTGCGTTGGAAGAAGGTGGCAGGGAAAGAAGTGAGAAGGAAAGCAGAGAAAAGTGGTGCATGTGAGCAGGAGATGGCAGATAAAGTCAATGTTCACATATTGATTGGGCAAAGGGTACAACCCAAATAGCATTAGTCTTAATTAGAAATGGACAAAGCTGACAAACATGATCTTGTTCAGGTTCACGTTTTCCCACTCAGAAGTCTGCTCTGTCATTGTAACAATGAGCAATTTTCCCCTGCGCAGAAATACATACATAGAATTATTTGCATTTTTGGAAATGTGTGCATTTGTACAAAGTTTTTGAAATGTGAACATGTATCCACTGACAGCAGGCTGGTGTGCATTTTTCAGATGCACGCATTTTTCCATGTGTGGTTTTCTAATGTGCACCTTTTCAAAGCATTTTTCCTTCACAAAACCTGTCCCAAACTCAGAAATGTAGATTTCTAAC